ATTTAACTATTTCTTATTTGTGTTTTTCAATTTTAGAAATAAATAATAAAGCAAATAAATTATTGATTTCTTTAAAATTTTAACACCCGATTAATTGTTGGTTCTTTTAAAATTTTAACACCTAATATTATTAAGAAATTAAAATTAAAAAAAAATCAATGTTTAGGAAAAAAAAAAAAGGAGGCCACTCGTTTATCGTTCATGTGAATAGTAAACGAACGGAAATTAAAAAAAAATAGTGTTTAGAGAAAAAAAAAAAAAGAGAGCAAGCCGTTTACCATTCAAATGAACAATAAACGGGTAAAAAAAAGGAGAGGGGAAAGGCCATCGGTATCGGCAAAAAAAAATGAAAACTTAAAAAACAAAAAAAGCCAAAGTAATATAGCAATGAACAGATGATTAACACTGTTCATTGCTACAGATGAAAAATAGTTTTTCTTTAGTATATAGTATTAGATTTTTTACTTGCTCTATGTCATGGGTTGGATAAAATATATAAAATCGTTTAGAAAAATTATTTCAATTTAATAATCTGTTTTATGATAAAAAATAATTATAATTTTTTAATAAAAAATTTTGTATTTAACTATTTCTTATTTTTAAAAAAATTTTAAAAATAAATAATAAAGGAAATAAATTTTTGGTTTCTTTAAAATTTTAACACCTAATTAATTGTTAGTTCTTTTAAAATTTTAACACCAAATACTATTAAGAAATAGAAATTTTAAAAAAAATTCAATGTTTAGAAAAAAAAAAGGGTGCAAGCCGTTACTGTTCATGTGAACAAGTAAATGGGTGGAAATTTTTTTAAAAAATTAAATGTTGTTTTAAAAAAGGAGGGTAGGCGTTTACTGTTCAAATGAACAGTAAACGGATTGTTTGGGGGGGCCGGGGGCAACGGGTCTAGCCAAAAAAATTAATGAAAATTAAAAAACAAAACAAAACACTATAACAGTTGAATAGTGATTTACACTGTTCATTGCTATAGTGAAAAACCATTTTGCTTTAGTATATAGGATAATAACTCAAAATGACATTTTCCCCCTTTCCATGTCTTCTTTGTCCTTCTTTCCTTAACCAATCTATTAAAAAAACCCATAAAGTTTAGGGAAAAACAAGTTCGTTACTTTCTATATCTTTTCTTTCTTTCTTTCTTTCTTTAACCAATCTATTTAAAAAAATCCATAAAGTTTAGAAGAACAAAAAGGAATCTAATCAATCTAATTTATTTATCAAAGGAGCGAAAGAAAAACTAAAAGATATTAAAAATATCAATGGTTTTTCTACTCTAATTCCATGCATTTGTTCATCAAAGAGCTCAATTTCGTAGTTTAATGATAAAAATTACCCTCAAATTATTGGATTATCATAATTCAAGGTCTATACTATTAATTTAGATTATTTGGATTCTAAATTATTAGTTTTTAGGTAAATTTTATCCTTTTCTATTATTACCGAGCCTTCTTTTTTTTTTTTTTGAAAATTAATTTGTTTTTAATAATAGTTAGCTTTAAGGAACTTTAAATGATTTTGTTGTCTATGAATTTAACTTTTGTTGTTGGATAATTAATTATGTGTAATGGATCCATCTAGTAAAAAAAAAATTGAATTATTTGTTTTAAGAATTTAATTTAATTTTGAAAAGATATTTGATAATAATTAGTTTTTATTGTAGCTTAGATGATTTTTTTTTGGTGGATATTACTTTTGTTATTAGATAATTAATGATATGCAATGGATCCATGTATTTTTTTATATACATTATTTTTTTAATATTAATTTTAATTATAAAATAAATCTAAAATATTTAAAATGACTTCATTTTAAATATTTCAGTTAACAATCAATACTCCGACTATAATAACATAACGGAGAATTATCAAATTTGTAAAAAAAAAAAAAAGGGTTCAAATAGGTTAAATTAATAGTATAGACCTCATTTTGTAACAATCCCAACTATTTTGAGGTAAATCTTACTATTAAACCATATTGTAGTTGACGGTTAACATTTTGATTGTTGGAGATAACGGATGAAGGATATAACATTTATTTATAAAATAACAATTTAGGGTCTAAATAAGTTAAAGTAATAGTATGAGTGTTAAATTACCATAAACTAATAATTTGAGGGTAATTGTTGGCATTAAACGTTAGTTTGGCAAAGTAAAATTGCGATTTAAATGGTCTCTATATTAAATTTTGAAAATTACTTAAAAGGACATGAAAGTGTAAAGAGAGAAAAAATCAAAGAAGAGAACGAAAACGTAATGACATGTCCACTTAATGGCATAAAAGGTTAAATAAAAAAACATATTAGGTTGAAAGAAATAGGCTCTTTTAGTGGATTTGAAAAGTTTTTTTTAAAAAAATGTAAAAGTGTAGAGAAAAATTAAAGAAAGAAGGACGATAAGATAATAATATAACAACTTGATGGCAAATTAATGTAAATAAAAAGAACAAAGAAGGGCAAAAGAAATCACTTTTAAGGATGAAAGGTTAAGGTGCAAAAAAATATGGGTATGAAAAGCGATGTTTGCAGGGACCAAATAGTACATGCGGATGAAATATATAATCGTGTGCAAATCACAAATGAAAAATCCAACGGAGGAGAGAATTCAACAAGAAGATGAGACGGCCAGACAGCTAGCAAAAGAATTAAAAAAAAAAAAAAAGGAACGAGAACAGTTAAAGGTACAGTGAAAATGAGTGATGAGCAATAATAAAAACTATAAAGTTTAAGCATTCTGTTTTAGTTTATATATATATATATATATATATAATTAGATATGGCATAAATTACTACACCAGGATCAAAATAATTTCCTAGAAAATTAAATAAATGCTTCAAAACTATCACAAAATTACATGTAAGATTGTGTACTTTCTCCTTGCACGCAGGAAGAGGCAAGCCGTTCATTTTTTTTTTTGGGAAAGTCTATAAAGGTTTTACTCATGGAGGTAGGATCCGTTGTAATCCAGATTAGTTACTATCTAGGTGGGCCTGATACTTGGTCCATGCATGGTTTTTAAGATTTGCCCTCTTACTTCAATTCAAAAACCGCCCACTGTAGATGAATTAAAGCATTAAAAACCCCCTATGCCCTAGCCCTGAAAGGAAAAGAACCCGAAGGCCCTTCCCTTTTTCTGTATGAAAGGGGCCTTAGAGCCTCAGGTCCAACTTCAGTGACCCAAAAGCAAGAGTTCAGATTTTTATATGCCCTGACTGTTAAACTGGGCCAAGACTATTAGCCCGTTTTAAACCCTGTAAAAGCCCTAGAGCGATCGTTCCACTTGCATCTTATTCCCCATCGACAGCCACTCTTTATCACAAATATATTAATGATATTGAAAAAAAAAAAGAGAGCCTAAATGCCTAATTACTATCGTCTCTGCCTGCTAAACCTAATTTTCATCATCATAAGATAAGATTAAAAATCAGGTACACTTCTTCGATTCCTAAAGTTGTAAATAAACAAGCAAACTGTAAAATAAAATCCACAAACTCTGCCCAATTTAATTAGAAAAATGATTCATTGAGACTATTAAAATTTCCCAAAATCTTGAATCACATGACAAGATAAAACACAAGAAACCCTTTTGCTTTCGAGTTTCAACCCCATCTCTATAATGTTTTCCTAAATTGCCAAGATTGCCACTGCTCTACATAAGAACATGACCATCCAATCCTTGCTTCACTAATCTGAATTGGAAAGAAAAAGCCCTAATCCAAGCCTGCAAGCCAGCCCTAACCTCTATTAGGAGTGGTAGTGGGGGTAAAACGAACCGGCTATAACCGGTAAACTCACTTAGATGACTGTTATCTCCGCGTTGCGATCCAATTCTTATTTCCACTTTTGCAATTTACAAGCAAATTGGGTAAATATATATTAGGGTAAACCTTTAAAAAGGTTTCCCAATTATGAATCTTACCACGATCAAGTCTCTAAATAATATTCTATTTCAATTGTATCCCATATTTTTCAAAAGTTCTCAATTAAGTCATCAGTCTGCAGAATTCAAAAAGTTTCTGAGGTAAAATGTTGATCTCCCTAAAAAGTATTTGTTAGGTACTCTGCGTTCTTAATACGTTGCTTTTTCACTCGTATAAAAACGAAATTGGCTACCGTAATCATCCTTTGGTTCCGTTTTTATGTGAAATAATAAACATTATATTGAAAATACCTACTAAACTTTCTCCTATAATGTAGTCCTCTTGCCTGAAAACAAGTAGGGAATCCATGAATCAACACTGATAGAAAGACTCAATTGAGAAATTTAGAAATTTGATGGACCTAATTGAGATAAATAAATTATTTGAGTACTTAAGCTAGACCATATACATAATTAAGGGACTTTTTCATGTTTACCTATATAATATATCAACATTCTAAACTCTCTCCTTCTCTTCTTCTTAACAAATAAACATAACATTGCTGTATGTATGTATGCATCCTCTCCTCTCTTCTTCTCTTCTCCTCTTTCTCTTCTGTTTCCTTTTCTTCTTCTCTCTTTTATGATATACAAGCCAGTGCTCCAATTCTTGTAATCTTCTTCCGGTTTTTCATCAAAACTTCGTCTTCTTCGTCTAGATAAAGCTTCGTGCTCTGTCTATCTTAAATCAAAGCCAAAAAAAGAGTTTTTTTTTTTTTGAAAAAAGTGTGTTTGCTAATTCAGCAGCTAGTAATAAACGATCTAAATCTTTGAAAAATTCGGTTTTGAAAAGTTGCTTTGAATTGAAGTAAAATGCAAAAATTACTTGGTGTTTCGATAAGGTGATCTATACTATTATTATAATTATAATCTGTTGTTTTATTTTGATTCTAAAGTAAAATATCGGTTAGATCTGCTGACCGATTTTTTTGTCGCAGGTTTCTTCCTCTCTGCAATTGAAGTTTTCAAAGCATGATGCGTTGCTGCTGTTATCGTTGTTGAAGAGAGAGAGAGAGAGTGTTTTATTATTTGTTAAAAAAAACAAAAAAGAAAAAAAAGAGGGAAAAAAGATGAAGAGGTCAAGAGATGATGTTTACATGGGGCCTCAACTTAAAAGGCCTGTGCTCTCTTCTTCTACTAGAGGAGAAACGTAAGTGTTTTTTTTCCTTTCATTTTCAATTTTGCTCGTTTTAGTGCTTATTTTTCGAATGAATTTATGTTAAACCTGATTAATTACATCACATGTTAGTTAATACTGTTTCCTTTTTTTCTTGATGATTAATACTTTTTTTTAGGTTAAATTCAGTGGTTGTATTTTCATTTTCTTCTTGTTAAATTGTGCGAGTCTTTCCGTTCTTGTTTTGGATGTGATAGATTGCATGAATTCTAGGTAATTATTCTTCTCTTAGGAACTAGTAACTGTAGTTATGTGACTTTTTATATGAATGAATCTGGGGGGCAAGGGCAATGATCTGTTGGATGTGTTTTGGAATCTTGCAATTAAGTTATTAATTTAAATATATCTTTGTGCTGTGAAGTTCGGGGCAACCGCAGATGATTGGTGGAGGAGGAGGAGGAGGAGGAGGAGGAGGAGGTGGTGGTGGTGGGGGAGGACAAAAACTTACAACTAATGATGCCTTGGCATATCTCAAGGCTGTCAAGGATATATTTCAAGACAAAAGAGAAAAATATGATGACTTTCTTGAGGTCATGAAGGATTTCAAAGCTCAAAGGTTTGTTGATGTGCATGCATTGAGCTCCATACTAGTTTTTCTTTTCCTTGTTTTTTGGACTATGTGTGTGTTTTGATGATTTATTATTATTTTTTTTACTTGTTACCTTTTATGTTGTCTGTAGAATTGACACTGCTGGTGTCATAGCGAGGGTGAAGGAGCTATTTAAAGGGCACCGTGACTTAATTTTGGGTTTCAATACCTTCTTGCCAAAAGGATATGAGATCACCCTCCCATTAGAAGATGAACAACCTCCACAGAAAAAGCCAGTCGAATTTGAAGAAGCAATTAATTTTGTGAACAAAATTAAGGTACAAATGGTGTTTCCTGGCCAAACTGGACGTGGTTCATTGTTTTGGTTTCAAGGTTTTAATCTTCTGAATTTGTTTTTCCAGACAAGGTTTCAAGGTGATGATCATGTTTACAAATCATTTTTAGACATTTTGAACATGTACAGAAAGGAAAATAAGTCCATCAGTGAGGTCTACCAGGAGGTATACCTGTCATATCTTCTCACCTCAACTTTGTTCGCTGTGTTTGAATGCTTCATTTTCTGTTTTTATTAAATGTAGTTATAACTAATTTTTCTGTCTGCTTTTGGGACATTTGAATTTCAAAAAGTATTAATGGAACTACTTCTGTTGCAGGTGGCTGCACTTTTTCGAGACCACCATGATCTGCTCTTGGAGTTTACTCATTTCCTTCCTGACACTTCAGCTGCCGCCAGTGCTCATTTTCCAACCGGTAGGAATTCGGCTCTTCGTGATAGAAGCTCTGCCATGCCTACAATGCGCCAAGTGCATGTTGAGAAGGTTACTCCTTTCCCATTACTTTTCTTTCAATTTTTAGATAATCATCAAGCTAATATTTGGCTTTTTATCACTTGCCAGAAAGAAAGGGCAACAGCTTCGCATGCTGATCGCGACTTCAGTGTCGACCGTCCTGATCCAGACCATGATAGAGCTATGATCAGAGCAGACAAGGATCAACGCAGGCGTGCTGAAAAAGAAAAGGAGAGGAGAGAAGACAGAGATAGGAGGGAACGTGAACGGGATGATAGAGATTACGATCAAGATGGCAATCGAGACTTCAACATCCAGCGATTCCCTCACAAGCGGAAATCTTCCCGTAAAGTTGAAGATTCGGCTGCTGAACAAGTTGGAGATGGTGACGAGAGCTTTGGAGGAATGAATCCTGTTTCATCCGCATATGATGACAAAAATGCTGTGAAAAGTGAGTTCTTAGTTGTTTTCAGTGCTTTACACTCATTCTGATAATGCAGTAATTTATATGTTTCTGACATTCTTAGTCAAAAAAATGTCTTGTGATTTTAAATTCCAATATCACATCATGGTTTTTCCCTTTTTAATGAACTTTTAGGGCCTAGTTTTTTTTTTCTTTTTATATTTGTGATGCTGCTTGACCTGGTGCTGTATCAACTGTGAATTGAGTGAAAGCACTTATATTACAGTGTAAAACACCATCTCTATCGCTTATGGGGTGCTTGTTATGCTTTATGTCTTTAAATGCTGCTTCAAACTCTTATGATCATCATTGCTGGTGGTATTATATTTTTTTAATGGACTCTGCTGCCCTTAGTGCATTTGCATTGAGTTTGCACCGTCTTTTCTTTTTCTTCTTCAGCAGGGGAAGGCTCCTTTTCCTTTTTCAAGTTTTCTTGTATATTATATTTTGAGCTGCTTACCATTTCCTTTTATTTTCTGCGTTGTTGACTTGGTTCATGTCATTGCAGGTGCGTTAAGTCAAGAGCTTGCTTTTTGCGATAAAGTCAAGGAGACGTTGCACAATCCTGATAATTACCAGGAATTTTTGAGGTGTCTTCATCTCTATACCAGAGAAATAATCACACGATCAGAGTTGCAGTCTTTGGTATGGCTGATAGTAATTTAGCATTGCTCCACTACAACCAATATTAACTGGGAAAGACATGTACTAATTTATAAATTAGCTTCCGTTATTACCGTTGAATATATGAAGAGATTATGTCAAACCATACACACACACACACACATGGGGTACTTGAAATTAAGTTTTACTTCTAAAGTAGTCTTGTTTACCCTCCTTGGACTCTGGCATTTTGGAACTGAAAACTTCAAATTAAGATCTAGTCACGTGGTAAGGAATAGAGGTCTGAACGTTTGGCTACCTTTTTTGGTTTACAAAATTTCAACTTGGCACTGTTAAGGTTCTTTTCTCTTGCTTGATAGGAACTAGATATTGACTTTTCATGCTCTTTGTTTGGTGCCTTATTGGGCAAGTCTCTTGTTGAATGCACACGAATAAACTCGAGTGTACTTCAATATTGTGTGCAAAGAAATAGTAGTCGTGGTCCTGTCTATACATATACATACTCATAGTCAATGTTGTTTGAATAGATCTTATCTTAAAAGTTGTTGGGATAGAATTATTAAAGTACGAAACTTTTGGTTGTCCCAGGTGGGTGATTTGCTTGGAAGATATCAGGATCTCATGGATGGTTTCAATGAATTTTTGGCACGTTGTGAAAAAAATGGTACCTTTATGCAGCAAATATTTACCTTGCTTTGGAAATTTTTTATTGTTGACTCTTTCTAATCAAAACTTTGTCCTGCAGAGGGTTTACTTGCCGGCGTTGTGAGTAAAAGTAAGTAATGAATGTTTCTTCTTGTTATCATTAGGCTAGATGAGTTTCTCACCGTCTTGTCTGGTTTAATTTAATTTTCTAGGAACTTGTGTTCAGTTTTGGCACAGTTCAAAAATCTGACCTAAGTTGCAATCAGATTAATGCTTACGAACTCTTTTTTCCAGAATCCCTGTTGAATGAGAGTAATTTACCCAGAGCTGTGAAAGTAGAGGACCGAGATCGAGATCGGGATCGTGAGAGAGATGATGGGGTCAAAGATAGAGACCGTGAAGCCCGAGAAAGGGACAGACTTGACAAAAGTGTAGCCTTTGGAAATAAGGATACAGGAGTTCCTAAGATGTCTTTATTTTCCAGCAAGGATAAGTTTACAGCAAAACCCATTAATGAACTTGACTTATCTAACTGTGAGCGCTGCACTCCCAGTTATCGGCTTCTGCCAAAGAGTGTATGCAACTTCTTTTATTGTTAATATAATTTCTTAAGTTGATATTAGCACTTCTAATAGTTATGGTTCCCTGAGTGACTTATTATTGTTTGATGGCAGTACATGATACCTTCTGCAAGTCAGAGGACAGAGCTTGGTGGTGAAGTACTGAATGATCATTGGGTATCTGTCACTTCAGGAAGTGAAGATTACTCGTTTAAACATATGCGAAAAAACCAGTATGAAGAGAGCTTGTTTCGTTGTGAAGATGACAGGTTGGAGCTTGCCTGAGATGCTGATATATTGTTTTGTATCTTCAATTTTAAACAAAAACCGAGGCCGTTTTGTTGTAGTAGCTAATAATATATATTCTCTTTAGGCATTTGTTTTTAACTTTTTAATTCTAAAATTGCCTACTTTTCCATGACATTTCTATTGTGAATAGCGTCAAAACTTTCTGTCACAGCGTTGTGTCTCTTGTAGGAAGTTGAGATGGCATTGTTTGCACAATCTTTTTCTTTCTCTTCTACATAAATTATTGCTTTAAACTATTCTAGTGTTTTCGTTATTTTTTGGCAATTGTTCATGACCTTTCTTGTCGTTTTCAGGTTTGAGCTGGACATGTTGTTAGAATCTGTGAATGTAACAACCAAGCGTGTGGAAGAATTATTAGAAAAGATCAACAATAACACGATCAAAATAGATAGTCCAATTCGTATTGATGAGCACTTAACAGGTCATATGCCGATTGGTGTTTGATCAAGTTATTATAATATCTAATGTATCCTATGCGCATTGTTAGGTGCTTTCCTCTTTTTTCTGACGAGATTCTCTTTTCTTCTTGTGTAGCTCTGAATCTGAGGTGTATCGAACGTTTATATGGTGATCATGGGCTTGATGTAATGGATGTGTTGAGGAAGAACACTTCTCTTGCTTTGCCAGTTATATTAACTCGCTTGAAGCAGAAACAAGAAGAGTGGGCAAGGTGTCGTGCTGATTTTAACAAAGTTTGGGCTGAAATTTATGCCAAGAACTACCACAAATCGCTCGATCATCGCAGCTTCTATTTCAAGCAGCAGGATACAAAGAGCTTGAGCACTAAAGGTATTTACTAGTTGATACCTTGGGATGTTTTCATTCAGATGAAGCACATAATACATAAATTTTTTGATGTCTTTGCATGTCTAAGAATTATGATCCCTGACCTTTATCTTATACATTAGATTGTGAGTACCAAGCAAAACTAGAGACGAGTCCTGAATATTTTTAAAGTTACTTTGTTCCATCATTTATTAATGGCTTCTTGCTTTTACTCTTGTCTGTTTAGGAATAAACATACAATTCACATCCACCTTGGTCATAAAATCCTGGATTTATTTAAATTTGTGACTGAATACCAATCCATAGCTACATTAAACATAATGGACTCATCCAATGGGACATATTTATCCAATAATTCTTATGTCCAAATTGCTCATATGTTGCATAATTTACAGCCTTACTGGCAGAGATCAAGGAAATTAGTGAGAATAAACGCAAGGAAGATGATGTGCTTCTTGCTTTTGCTGCTGGAAACAGACGACCAATTATACCGAATTTGGAATTTGAGTACTTGGATCCTGACATTCATGAGGACTTATATCAACTTATCAAATATTCATGTGGAGAAGTTTGTACCACTGAACAGTTAGATAAAGTGATGAAGATTTGGACAACCTTCTTAGAACCCATGCTTGGCGTTCCGTCTCGACCTCAGGGTGCCGAGGACACTGAAGATGTTGTAAAAGCAAAGAATCAGTCTTCTAAAAGTGGAGAGAGTGAAGGCAGCCCTAGTGGTGGTGGTGCTGCAGTCACAAACTCCAAACATTCAAACCCTTCAAGAAATGGAGATGAAAGTATCCCACCTGAACAATCAAGTTCTAGCAGGGCTTGGATGCTAAATGGAGATAACGGAGTTAAAGAAAATGGTTCTCCTGATGCAGATCATGTAGCTCGCAAAAGTGATACTTCCACAAGCACACTTCAACATGATAAGGCGCTGATTAATACAGCTACTGCTGATGAATTGTCAGGGATAACTAAACAAGCTGCTTCCAATGATCGGCTGCTAAATTCAAATGCATCTCTTGCCACTGGAGCAGAGTTAAGTAATGGACGAACTCTTGTAGAATCAGGTTTGATGGATGCTTCCAGTCTCATCTAATCTGCATTATTTTCCTTAATTCCCCACTCCTTTCTATCAAATTGATCGCTAGATTTCTGAAATGTAACATTTTGTTGCAAGGGCTTAGTGCTACTCCTTCAAGACCAAGTAATGGCACTGTTGAGGGAGGGCTTGGAATAGGTTCGAGTAATGAAATATTACCTTCAACAGAGGTATGGTGCTTTCATACATTAGTTTGTATTAATTTACTATGCTTGATCTTGATAGACCACATGGACATGGATGGAAGTGGTATCGAAGTTTAAAAACTTATGATATTGAGGCTGATTTGGTTTGTGATCTTGTGGAATAGCACAAAAAGATCCATATAGTGGACCCAAACTAGTTTGGGATTGAGTCTTTGTTGTTGTTCTTGATAGACCACTTTCTACAGTCAATTAGAATTTTAAGCCATTAGCCTTGGTATCCTATGGGTAGACTTTAAGCTGTTATTTGCCCGGACATAAAAAGTTGCTATGATGGTTGGCTTGACAGGTATCTTTTACTGGTTTTGTAATTGAATTAAACATAAAATTATAGAAAAATACTCCTACTGGCTGCATAGCCTGACATGGCTAAGGGTTGTTGAGAAGTAAACATCAACTAAACGAACACCATAATGGGTTTCTTATTTGATCATTTTTTCCTTCTTCTAGTAAACTTAGATGTAAGATGACTGTATCTATTGCTGATCTAACAGGGTGGTGAGTTTTCAAGACCTGCTGTATCCACAAATGGGGTAGCAACAGAAGTCATCAAAAGTCACAGATATAATGATGAATCTGCTGCACAATTTAAAATTGAAAGAGAGGAGGGTGAATTATCTCCAAATGGAGATTTTGAGGAGGATAATTTTGCAGTTTATGGAGAAGCTGGTTTGGAGGCAGCGCATAAGGTGAAGGACAGTGCTGTTAGTAGGCAATATCAAGCCAGGCAGGGAGAAGAATGTGTAGAGGCAGGGGGAGAGAATGATGCTGATGCTGATGATGAAGGCGATGAAAGTGCTCAAAGGACATCAGAGGATAGTGAGAATGCCTCCGAGAATGGCGATGTTTCTGGAAGTGAGTCTGGTGATGGTGAAGATTGCTCTCGGGAAGAGCATGAGGAAGATGGCGACCATGATGAGCATGATAATAAGGCTGAGAGTGAAGGTGAGGCCGAAGGAATGGCTGATGCCCACGATGTTGAAGGAGATGGAACAATGTTACCATTTTCAGAACGTTTTCTTCTAAATGTGAAGCCTTTGGCAAAGCATGTCCCTCCTTCATTGCATGACAGAGAAAAAGGTTCTCGGGTTTTCTATGGAAATGATTCCTTCTATGTGCTTTTTAGGCTTCACCAAGTAAGGATTTTTTAAATTCTGTTTATATGGCTGGATTTTATTTAATTTCGAGGTTGCTTTTATTAACATTATATCCCTATGTATTACTTTGACAGACGTTATATGAGAGAATACAATCAGCAAAGGTTAATTCATCATCTGCTGAAAGGAAATGGAGAGCTTCAAATGATTCTAGTCCTACTGATCTCTATGCCAGGTGCCCTAGCTTCAGAAATTTAGATTATTCTATTAACTTGAATTTGACCAGTCTTTATTAATTTAAGTATGTCTTTACAGATTCATGAGTGCGCTTTACAACTTACTTGATGGTTCTTCTGATAATACAAAATTCGAGGACGATTGCCGGGCTATTATTGGGACACAGTCATATGTTCTGTTCACATTGGACAAACTAATATATAAGCTTGTCAAACAGGTAAAATGCTCAGGATCACCTTCAACATTTTCATTTCCAGTTTTTTGCCTGCCTTGCTCTCATCTCTTCCTTCTAAACAAGTTCTATTTTTTTCCCCCTCAGCTCCAAACACTGGCAGCGGATGAGATGGACAACAAGTTGCTCCAACTATATGCATATGAAAAATCAAGGAAACCCGGAAGACTTGTGGATGTTGTTTATCATGAGAATACTCGAGTGCTGCTTCATGATGAGAACATATATCGTATTGAATGTGTAAGTCTAGTGGTTTTTGCTTCTGTTTCTTTTTTTTTATTTTTTAATTTGATTGTTATGAGAGTGAAGGTTTGTTAATTTTTCTGCGACTGTAACACAATAATTGTCTCTGCAGTCTTCCACACCAACCCACTTGTCTATTCAGCTCATGGACTTTGGACATGATAAACCTGAAGTGACTGCTGTTTCCATGGATCCTAATTTTGCATCTTATCTGCATAATGATTTCCTCTCAGTTGTTCCTGACAAAAAAGAGAAGCCAGGGATTTTTCTCAAGAGGTATGTAGACACAATGGACAAAGTTGTCTAATATTGTATGAGCTCCTATGGCTAATAAAGCCCACTGTTTGCAGGAATAAACGTAGACATGCAAATGCTGATGAGTGCCAGACCATGGAAGGTTTTCGGGTTTTCAATGGTTTGGAGTGTAAAATTGCCTGCAATTCGTCCAAGGTATCTTGCATTAAAAGTCATGTTTTAGATTTGCTTTTTGTATTCATGTACTTGTAATTAAGCAAGCCCTACAATAGACTTTCTTCTATCTTCTGTTTATCAACTGGTGATGTGTGCATGTAGGTATCCTATGTTTTAGATACAGAAGATTTTTGTTTCGAACAGAAAGAAAAGGCAGAACTTTGCAGCAGAATGGCCCTTGCCACAACCAGGAAAAGATTTCCAAAAGAGTACAGCGGTTTCACAGATTGCTATCTAGCTCATAGCATGCCTTCCTGCAACGAAGTGGACATGGTGTGTACTAATCTTTGCATAACTGGTTGGGATTGCTTGTCACAGTATTCAAATTCCCTCTCACAACATAGCCTGCAATTTTGTTTCGTTTTTCGTTTTCGTTTTTATTTTTTTTGAACCTCTCTCTAACACTTGCTCTCAGATTTTGTTCCACAGTTGGCCTTGGAATGCATTTTGTGCGCTGCTGCAGGGAATTCAATAGTTGGGGCGCGACCAAAATCAGCTTTGATCTATTCTCACAGCTCTCACCAAGTGAATAAATGGAGATATGGCTTTGCAAGATTGTAGTATAGTGTAAGCTTGTGGTATTTTGAGCCACTATCTTGTATTATGTATATAGGGCTGACCGCGATGTAATATCTGAGATATATGTTCATTCCATTCATCAATATTTTAGTCTTGTTTCACTTGGATTTGTACCCCACTTTTTGCAATCACGGTGTCATGATTTGCTTTGCCCATCCATGATGGTCGCACAGAAACAGACCTGGTATGGTCAGTCAAACTAATAAACCTGAACCAGAGCCTAGCCAAGGCTTGGTTTGTAGTTTGGGACGTACTGCCCATCCGAATTAGACTGATCCAGCAGGGATTCTTTTGAACTAATGGACCCAGTAAAAATTAGTGAGAATTGTATATACAAATATAGGAAGTAAAGGAAAAAAAGGCATAACCAGAAGAATTGTGTGAAATAAGTAAATTTATCCAGTTGATAGACGAAAATTGAGAAAAGAGACTCGTCCAAAAAATAAATAAATAAGAAGAAAAAAACAAGCTCAGGAACCTACACCTACAATCCATGGTTTGATAACTTTTCGGAAGCAATCACTGGTTGAGATCTTTCATTTTGAATTTAAAAATATTTCATTAGAAGAGAAGGTAATATATATATATATATATTTTTTTTCTTTCCAATTATGATCTATGGTATGTTATTGAGGTTGTAAAACCTCAAAGAATGATGTACTCAAAAGATGATATAAAAATGATGTTTGTTGATCGACAGTGTTTATGAAAGTGAAAAATCCACAAAAACAAGTTTTTTTAGTTGAGCGAAGGAATACGACGAAAGAAGTTATTATTTGAAAAAGTTATGATGCAAATATTAAAAAACCTATAGAAGTACTAACAGGAGAAATTTAAAGATTCCAAATCTTTAATTCTCGATGTCATAATTATTTATATAGTTATGAAACATGTCAAAGTTATATAAACAAAAAAAAAAAGAATTATTCATTTCTTTATTATGAACAATTTATATTTTTAATTATGAAATAAGTACTTTTAATATTAACGGAATGCTGTTAAGCAAATATGACGACGTTACGAAATTGTTGATGGGATAAAAGTGATTTTCATTTAATGATTGTACCATTTGTCCGTCTAGTAGATGAGGGTAGGCATAAACTCTTCCGCCATGGCCAGAAGCGTCCCAAGCTTTATGGAAATATTGTTTCATGGTAGTGTTTCAAGTCGTCTGTCCAGATCTTATGTGAATGAGCTTCGGTTATTCAGCTTTGGCCTAAATAGACGAATAAGCTAGAAGTAGGTTACAGTTCTTTCACATGTAACTGTCTTCGATGAATGGAACCCAAATATAGATGATATATAAATCTTGCTGATATAGTCAACTATTAACATTAAATTCCTTAGCCTCAAACTATTTAATAACATGATGATGAATTTTAGGGTCTTATCTAAAAAAAAAAAAAATTGGAAAGAAAACAAAAAAAACAGAACATATAAAGGGGTGCGGCTGTGCTTCGAACTGAGAATAATCGGATGAATTGAAAAATGAATGGGAACCCTAACCCTCTCAGGGCTCCTGTTCAAGTCCATCGAAAAACAAAAAAAAAATTTGCTGACTTCTAGAGTCGAAGTGTATGATCACTCTTTTCTTTTTTGCATCAACAATGTTTGGGTATTTTTTCCAAAGCATTCCAATTGATAAAAACATAGATAATTCGTATGGTGTATATATATATATAAAAGGAGGGCTAAGTTCATCTGTTTAAGTGGGGGAGTTTTAGCATGAAAAGTTAGTTTTATGTTAAGGGAAAAGTTAGTAAAATTACGTTCACATAGCCATTGGATATTTTTAAAGTCTATCCAATGGTGTATGTTTATCTCTTTTTTTTTTTTAGTTTGTAAAAACCCTATTTCTAATTTTTATCTTCATATATTTTATATTTTCTACACTTCTATTCATGCAAATTCTCTTATTATATTTCATATTTTCAATAATTCTTTTTTATGCTCTCTTCTTGTTTTTTTTTTGTTCTTTTTTCCTGTCGTCTCTATCTAGAATATATTTTAACACGAATAATTTTTTTTATGAAAACCCAAAAAAAAAAAACGTTACACGTAATTTAAAAGCACATGATTTGAAAAAACAAAAACGTAAATCTGAAAAATATACAAAAATAAAAACCCAAAACTGCAAATCAAAAATTAAAAATCAAGAAACCCCATAATTTTTTTCTCATCTTCTTCATCATTGCACATTTTTTCTTCTTCGTTACGGGATCACAAATCTCCCAAACAAAAATAAAAAAATCCAAAAAAAAAAAATCATCTTCGACAAATCTCACACACAAAAATCAAGAAAACCCAAAAGAGACCGAGTAGCGACCTCGCAAGCAAGAACCGAGCCTTCGTCTCATCAATTTATCCTCTACGATCCGATGCCGTATGTTGGATCCATACTCGTTGAAATCCGAGTTTTGGCAATCGTTTGCTACCCCTTGTTTCCAACCCAAAGCTAAAACTCTAGTCCCCAAGCCTAAGACCCAACATCCTATAAGGCCTCATATATCGGCATCTTCCACCCTCTAGCACCTTATCTAAAACATGTCGGCTAAGTTCATTCATAATATATAAAAGACGAAGGTTCGAAGACCAACCTTGTCAAAAATCACTCATCAAAGTTAAAGCCTTTATTTCGTTTCGAGGTTTGTCGTGTGTGGATTTGATTTCGATTAGTGGGCGGGTTTGATAAAAATTACAGCCACACACACGGATATATATATATAAGGAAGCTCTACAAGAGCTCCATCTCTTCTTTACATAATTAGAAAGCTCATGTGGTGAAGAACTACCCCTACAAAATCCTAAAATTTGTCTTTTGTGCAATTCTTTTATAAGTATTTTCTTTAAATACAAGTTTTATTTATAATTTTATTTTTATACTAATTAGTGGTCAGTCTGTGTCGTTCATTTTTATTTTCTTTTAATTACATTGTATTAATTGTGGTTAGTTTTGCCATTCATATGTTTTAATTTTATTTTATTTACATTGTTTATATTGCAATTTTTATATTATTATTTCAATTATATATGTGCATTGCATTTACATAAAATAAAGGATGAATATGAATTATGAATAATAATAAAAGAAAATAAAAGATCAATTGATGAGTGGTTAATATTAATGCCATATAACAATGTGAATATATAAATACAATGCAAATATGTAATTGAAACAATAATATAAAAATTACAATATAAACAATGCAAATGAAATAGCAATATAAACAATCTAAATGAAATAAAATTAAAATATACCGCCGATAGAGCCGACTACAATTAATACAATGTAATTAAAAGAAAATAAATATGGGTGGCAAAGCCGACCACTAATGAATGTAAAAATAAAATTATAAATAAAACTTATATTTAAAGAAAATACTTACAATAGAGTTATACAAAATCTTAATTATTGGGAGTTACAAATTCTAGGGCTTTGTGGGGTGGTTGCTCAACAAATGAGCTTCCTAATTATCTAAATGAGAGATGAAGGTCTTGTAGAGAGCTTTTGTGATATGGAGAGCTTCCTTCTCTTGAACTTCCAAAAGCTTGCCTTTGAAAGTGATGGAGTGGCCTATTTATAAGCTTTTGGAGTGGCATTGATATAAAATGAGAACATTCTTCTTCAAAGTTGTGATGATTACCTTTTTGAAATGGATGATGCAAGTTGTAAGAAACGATGCAAGTGGAGGTGATATACATATGACATCATTTTTTTATTTTTTTCATTCATTCATTTATTTATTGTTTGATTGGGAGAAGGATTCTAAAACGAGTCATCTTCATTATCATCTTCAAGATTAATTAAAGACTCGAAACTAGTTTTGCTTTGTGATTCATCGAACAACTCGTAAGCAATTGCTACATGATAGAGAAAAATTCTTCCTCTATTTTGGCTTTGGCTAGGAGAGCACTAGCTTGAGACTTTTGGGCCGTGGAATTTATGTGCATATCGGTGACAATCTCTTTTCCTTTATTTTGTGGCCTTTATGAGGATAACCATGTCTCAACTACTCGCTTTGCTAGATTATGCAAATTTATCCCACCATTTTACCTTGAAGGTTCTAGTAAGAACGAGAATAAATATATCGGGATCATTGCTTGATTGTACCATTTATCTTGAATGAATATTCCTAAGAGAGAAATTAGGGGAGCAAAGAATTTTTGTCATATATAAATAAAGGGGAGAAAAGGCTTACTCAAATTTTGTAGGGATATATTTATCTTTGAAGATTATATATCCCTAGTAAGTACCAACTATGCGGAATTTGTGGAATGGCACCAAACCATTTCCACCAAGAAATGAACCAACAACAAACTATTATTAATAATAGCATTTCAATATGAAATTTTATTTTTAAAAAGAACACCTATTATTCTTAAATAAAAATGAAAAACATTTTGATCCAAACAAGAAATGAAAATAATATTCTTAGTCTATACTAAGAATGTAATCATAGTTATTAAGCCTAAACACAAGCCTATATGACGGTGCTAACTCATAAGTGCTTACAGACTAATGGTACAATTCTTACTCCATTGCCAAGCATATAGGTCAACCTTTCTTGATGCAATCTTCCTACTCTCTCTAAGCCCCCGCACATTTGTATAAATATGAGCACCATATCTTGTATTATATATCAACGAAATGGGATTAAAAGTAGAAAAATTAACATAGATACATGAGGTGCTAGTAGAACTCTTCTTTTTCACCTCTGCTAGGTACTTCTTACGGTTGTGCTTCCAATGGGCTTTTCTTATTGTAATGAAAGCGGACTACTTCCTTTTGGATATGTTGGGCCTTAACCTTTTTCACCCTTCATTTAGGTGCAATAAAGGGTTTCTTTTAGTGCTCGAGGCTTTTTCTTGTCCTTCATCTTGCCTTTTCCCTTATTAACAAGAAGCATATAACTTTTATTCTTCTTGTTTATCTCTGATCGAGCTCCCTAAGCATGAATAGGAATTCTATAAGAGTCTTTTGC